ACAAAACAACAGACGAAACACTCTTTGGAGTTTATGAACTTCCAACATGAGAAAGACATTTTGCAGGCATTATGGACATACAAGGCTGTAACAGCCAAATGGCTAAATTTTCTGATGAATTCTCACCTACTTTTTCCTTAAGTGGAAGAATACTATATACTTTTAAAAGCAGAAAATTAGGAAAAAGTGTCACAAAATCAATACACAGCACTTAAGTAGTTCTTTAAGCCCATGGCAGACAACCAAGCTTCCAACCCGCCAATATACCTTTGGGAGAGCTGGCTGAGTGGCCAGACTTCACTTCTGGAAGAACATCTTCTAATGCATCTTTTTCCAAGAAAGAAAAGCATAAAGCAGAATAATACAATACACTGGAATGTCACCAGAATATTTTTTGATAGCAAAAAGCACTTTATGCAAAGGTGGCAAATACTGAGAGGGGAAAGATGCTTGTAAAGAAAAAGTCAGGAATCGCACAGTATGATTTCCCCATTATAAAAATGCACTTAGATTCTTTAAGATACACAGGTAATGTAGGCTATAAGAAAATCTTGCTTATCAACAAAACAAATAACTCATAAAATTTTTTATATTAATTCAAGTTTTAAACATTGCAGTATCACCCCAGAAGGCAATAGTTGTTAAAATACCTCTTAATCCATATTCAGCAGAGACAGTAAACCCTTTTTATTTCTCATCTATGTGTTCCTCCTACAGAAAAAAAGTTGTAGTATCTTTTCACAGTGGTTTGATTCAATCTGTGTGAACTGTAGTGACATTTCCTGACAGTGTTCATTGCCAAGATAGTCAGATGCCATTAATAAGAAATTCCATTTGAATGCACCTTGAGTTTTCTGAGAAATGAGATTCTCTAGTTCTGAAAGATGCACAGCTAACAATTCTCAGCTCTTCCTCTAACAGGCTGACCAACCTTGATATTTACTGGTTACACCTCAAGCTGACAATGACACCCTGGCTCTGAAGCAGTAAAAGGACTGCGATAGTTCAGTTCTTAAAAGACTAGATTTTCTAGACTAGACCATACAGTCTAGAATGATGGGATGCCATCCAGAGGTACCTGGACAAGCTCTAGAAGCAGGCCCTTTTAAACTCATAAGGTTTAAAAGGACGAAGTGCAAGGTCCTGCACCAGTGCCAGGACAACCTCCTGCATCAGTACAGGCCAGGGGATTGACAGATTGAGAGCAGCCCTGCCAAGGACTTGGGGGTGCTAGTGGATGAGAGGCTGGACACGATCCAGCAATGTGCACTTGCAGCCCAGAAAGTCAATTATATCCTGGGCTGCATCACAAGCAGTGTGGCCAGCAGGTCAAAGGAGGTGAATCTGTCCCCTCCACTCTCGAGTAGAGTGGAGACCCCACCTTGAGTGCTGCATCCAGCTCTGGGGTTCCCTAGCACAAGAAGGACCTGTTGGAGTGAGTCTAGAGGAGGGTGACCAAGATGATTAGTGGGATGGAGCACCTCTCCTACAAGGAAAAGGTCACAGAATTGGGATTGTTCAGCCTGGGGAAAAGAAGGCTTTGAGGTGACCTAATTGAAACCTTCCAATAACTAAAGGGACCCTGTAAGATAAAGACTAGTAACAGGACAAGGGGGAATGGTTTCAAACTGAAAGAGAGTAGGCTCAGATTAGATATTAGGATGAAATTGTTTACTGTGAGAGTGGTGAGGCACTGGCATAGGTTGACCAGAGAAACTGTGAATGCTCCATCTCTGGAAGTGTTCAAGGACAGGTTGCATGGAGCTCTGAGCAACCTGCTCTAGTGGAAGGAGATGTCCCTGCAGGAGGTTGGAACTAGATGATCTTTAAGGTCCCTTCCAACCCAAGCCATTCTATGATTCTGTGATTTTATTCTTTTACTTTCTATTTCCATTTGGATGATTATGATATCTTTCTGAGAACGATACATATACGTACACAATATATATACATATATATATTCACCAAATAAATCTGCACATGTGGAAACCATCTGTGACATCTGGTCTTTTACTAAATCATATATATATACACAGAGAGAGACAGACACATCACTCCATATGTATTTACTACAAACCTCTTTAAGAAGATCATGATTCTCAGAGGTGAAAATTGCTGAGCTCCATACAGCAATAAGCTTTCATTAAGAAATCCAGTTCCCACAGTAATACTTTGCAATTCTGCATCTTTATGTCCAAGTGTATGCCTCAGTATCTGCGAGACAATAGCATAGTAAACTGGTAAATGTTAAACCTATTTTATGCACACAGAGTTATTATGAGCTGAAGTTATATTAAAAATTTAGTGTAGTGGATCATAGTTCCTCTACTGACACCAACAGGCACTAGACCCACCAGGAAGTATATTTCTTAACTAAAAGTCACACAGCAAGATACTAATAAAAAATGTCCAGAAATTTTTTTTGCATCTTACCCTCTGCTTAAAATTAGCCCGAGATCCAGTTTTAAAGTCTATCATCAAGAGAGTAAGGAAATGTCAGTTAACAGAGTTTCTAGTAACTGTTTCCAGAAAATATCTGATAGATAGACAGTGACATGTTTCACTGTGATTTTTTTTAATTCACAGCTTCTGACTGCAGATCAACATTTGCAAAAACCTTACATAGTTTGCATCAATCATAAATAAGAGGCTCTCTCCTGTGGATCATTAATCTGATAATACTCCAGTTTATACCATACTGGGTTAAGGTCTCTGAGGTGTGGAACGGGGCAGCACCCCCAAGCTGGTCTTGACTGACAGCTTCTCCAGGGTCTCCCAGGGAGGCTCACAGGGGCTGGGGTATGGGGCAGGGCATCACCTCACCTTCATAACATTTGACCTGTCCCATTCCCCGCCCCACCCCCCGAGTTGGTCCAAGCCAATAATTAATACAATAATCCAGTGTCTCACAATGCTTCTTAGTCAAGATCAGAGGGGTCATCTCCAAGGGGGATCTTACAGTAGGCATCTGCTACTGACCTCTGAATCAAGAGAGTAAGACCAATGGAAAAGTATTTGGATCACTTAAACAAGCTTTGGGTCACAGAACCTGGTTCTTATGGGTGACTTCAACTACCCCACACGTTCATTGAAAGAACAATACAGCAGCTCATGTCACCCACCAGATTTCTGGAATGTGTAGAGGACTGCTTCTTCCTTGTACAAATGTTAGATGTGCCAACTAGGAACAAGGCACTGCTGGCCCTGCTGCTCACAAAACAAGAAAGTCTGCTTTGTAATATCTCAGTTAGGGATAGCCTTGGATGTAGCAATCATAATACCATGGAATTTGGGATCCTGCTGACCATGCTGAAGGTTAGTATTAGAACAAACATTTTAAAGTTTAGAAGAGCAAATTTCAGCTCTCTCAGAGCTAAACTGTGAAGGATTTCATGGGAAGCTTCCATGAGGAAGCTAGTGAGCGCTGGGAGCCTTTCTAAACTCTCTTCCCAGAAGAACAAAAACAGTTAATCTCCTTTTAAAGGTAGGGAAGTAGCCAGAGCAAGAGACCACCTTGGCTTAACTGTGAGCTTCTGAGTCGGCTCAAAAGAGAAGCATTCCAGAGTTGGAAAAGTGGACAAAAACCTGTTGAAAACTACCGGGGCACTGCCAGGGTATGCAGAAATGCAGACAGAAAAGCAAAAGCTGAGCTCACACAGAAACTGGCCAGACAATGTAAAAAACAACAAGAAAGGGACAATTAATAGATGCAGACTGGAAATTACACGTAGATGCTCAGTCAGTCATTCAGAAACAACCCTCTAATAGGACTAAAGGGGTGACAATAGCACTACTTTTAATATGGAAGCTTGATATATGTGTTAATTTCATCAAATGAAATCATACCCAAAGCTACCAATCAAACTGGCTGAAAATCAAGAGTTTTTTCTACAAGTAAGGAATTCTGCTTTTCTGTTTGTATTCACTGCAGTCAGAGGTCCTCCTGACTTTCTCTTTTTGTTTCTGGTTTTGCTTCCTCTCAGACTCACCATTCCCACCATCATACATCTTACTGAAAAATGTGTGTTAAATGTGGATTTAAATTAGCATGCAGTGTGGACAGCTCAGAAAGGTTCTACAAGTATGCTGGGATCCTGATTCCTTCCTGACTGTTATTGGTACTTTAGCTGAACAGCCGGTGTCCACCGAGACTCTGCCCAATCCCCCACAGAGGGAGAAGGAGGAGGGAAGGGGGGGAGAAGAAAAAAAACTTGCAAAATCGAGGCTGCTAAGTTTTATATTTACGCACAGAAGAAAAAAAAAACTATAACCACTATACACACAGGGAAAACTAACAATAAAGACTACTTCCCCATGAAAGGTGTTTTCCTCCTCCAAAAACAGCCATTTATCCCATGCAACCATCCCAGAGGAGAAGAGAGGGAGTGGTTTCCTTCCCGTCTCTTTATATCTGAGCTGACATAACATGGCATGGAGTACCTTATTGGTAAAATATACATCAGGTGACCTATCCTAGTCCCATTTCCCTCCCAGGGAGGGTTACAAACCCACTACACTGACCTAGCAATGTTTCACTTCCATTTCTCAAAAAATAAACAGTGTGAGATTGAAAACAACAAATTAAGAGGTTTCTAGATAATTTTTTCCACAAATTCAATCAATGGTTGCACACAGGTGCAGTCTTATATTGTGTACTGAGAATCACTTGTCTGGGGAGAAAACTTCATGCACAGCCTAATTTCTGAGGTCCATGTCAGGTTGCTTTCACGAATCCTTTTGGAGGATTTTAGACTAGATTTATTGAGATGCTAATGATCACACTCCAGTATAACCAGGGCTGTGGCTTGGCTAAGCTACTCACTGCAAGCACCCTTCCACAGGCCACAGCTCTGGGCAGGCTGCAGCCACCAGGCACAGTGCAGTTGGTTGCTCTGGCACCACAGGCATCAGGAGCCCACCAGAAAGGTGCTGCTCCAAGAGATAATGCTTTCCCCAGAGAAAATGGAAAGACGCTGGAGAGTAAAAGCACAGCTGCCAGGTGGAACCACCCCTCCATGTATTACAGACATCACTCTGCTCTGCAACACAGGAGAAAGGCAACTCTTGCAATTGCTCATCAAACTATCACCAGTTCTTTACAAAATTTTATTTTACCTTGAATGTCAAGCATATTACCACTCTCTGACAGTAGGACAACAGAAAAACAATCCATTAGAGAAGTCACTTATGAAGCATCAGTTAAGTTCAATACAAGATTCTGCCTTAATTTAAGAAATGGATTTTAAATTGTCATAGGAACTGTGGCTTTGCTCTTTATGTAAAAGCAAGCAATACAACTCATTAGCAAAGCTTACAATGAAAATTACACACAGCTTGTTTAAAATGAAAAAGGAAACAGCATAACAAACATTGCAGCTGGTCAGCCACCAGCTAGACCTTTCTCCTTGTAAACCTGCTTCTTCAATTTGGCAATGCAGTCCTTGAGGAGAAACAGCAAAGGGTATATAACTTAATACTCCATTACACAGAACTGTTACATTGGGGTTGTGCAAACATTTTTTAATCTTTAATTTTGTCAAATCACAGCTACTGTATCATAGCCAGCTGTATCAGTCTTTCATTCTTTTTTTATTTTTAATGCTATTTTCATGTAAGTTGAATCACCCACATGGAACCTTTAAATCTTAAGTGGCTGACAGTACCATCTTCAATAAAACCTTGACCCTTGAACGAATAGTTCTACCCTTGCATTTCACCTCAGTTTTAAGCACAGTTGCATGGCAAAATAGGTGATATTTCTTCCATGATTATCCAGATATTTATCTTAATTTATAAGAATCTGATATAGGCTTTCGCTCACAGAACATCTGGAGCTATGACATATGAAATGTACACAAGCCAGTGAAATTCACACACATATGAAGTCAAAGCCAGCCACATTCTTTCCAAATCAAATACTGTGTATGCTGGCTGCATGTGAAAAATTTCACAGTAACTTATACCTGACCAATGCCATTTAAGACCTAATCCTGCTCCCAGTGGTGTTTCCAGCAATTTTGCAAAGGATTTCAGTGGTAAAAGGAGAATTATAGGACACTTAAATACTAAATATCAAATATTATAGTTAATTCCTATTAAAACTCTTTCAAAACAGATGATATTCAACCAGTGCAAGGTATAAAAAAAGTCATTGGGGTTTTGGAGTTTCTTGTCTAAAGGAATGTATAACCTTTGGGTTCGTTATTTATAATGTTTATAATATTTATAATGTCAGAGGTACTTTTGTTCCTGCTTATTGGATTATTGCTGGTCACCTTCCTGAGATTTGAAAGACCATAAAAGACAAGCACCATACCTATTCTTCTAAATTATCATATCACAAATTAATAATTTGGTCCTTTTCTGAATGGATCTCTCCCCACAATTACACTAAAACATAGTGATGGATCACAAATTCCAGGGGGTCCAACTGGTCCAGGCATTCCCGGAGTACCACGATCTCCATCTTTACCAGGCTGCCCACGCTCTCCAGGACGTCCTTCCTTACTCATACCTGGCGGACCTTCAGGACCTTAATAACACACATGCAATAAACAAATACATGACTACTGAAATAAAAACAAGAGCAAGAACAGATCCACCCCTCCACACACATCCCTGCTCTTTGGTGAAGTATGCAGATAAAGAAAACATTTCCTGAAAAAGACACTCCTTGTCACAAACTGCTTATATGTTTATATACACAACATGATACCTTACTAAGGTTTTTTTAAAAGCACACGGAAAACATTTTAAATAAAAATAGCTTTTAAAGGAAAATATAAAAATCTGCTTTAGCACACTGTTATACACACTGTTATAGCACACTGTTATACTTTACATAATCTGGAGCCACCATCACATGAATCAGTCCCCCTATTTCTATTTGTTACTCTGGATTTGGATCAGGCCCTAATATTTGTTCCAAACACCCAACTCTGCATTTTTTATACATACATTAATATTAGGAAGAATATATTCCCTCACTAAGCAATGCTTACATGTCACATAATCATATCAGGGCTCAGTTTTTAGATAATGGCTGATTTCAGGATCCATCTATCAAGAAACAGCAGTGTCTCAGGTACCAATTTCTACAAGACATCTTATATTAAATTATGTATTATATGACAATTTATAAGGGCATGCAAGAGACAGGCATTATCCCTAAAACATATATGGCAATTAAGATATGTACAAACTACCTCAGTTTTTCCCAAATCACACAAACACTTATTTGGAAATTAATAAATTATTAGCATGCACTGAATCTGCACAGCTGAACCATCCCTCACCTGGAGGTCCTGGGGGGCCTTGGATCCCAGGAACCCCAATTCCTTGATTGCCTTTTGCACCGTTTTTCCCTGGCAGTCCTGTGAATTAGCAAACACAGGTATATCTTTGCACACTACTTTCATCCAATGAACTAGGAAGTCAGCATTTGATAATATTTATTCAATAAAATACCTAATATTTCAAAAGCAAATAATAGGATGTAAAACAAGCATTTTCTTGTAACCCACACAGTGCGACTGAGTTCTAAATTATCCTAATTTCTACTGAATTTAGAGCTGATATAGCACTTGTTAAGCAGACAGTCACTATGAGCTGAGGGAATAGATGATAGGCAATTAAAAAAATTTGCTGTTATTGCTTTCCAACCGGCAAAGACTTTAAGAAGTTGTATGAAAGAAGTGTAAGTTATTCACTGTAGTCGGTGTGGAATACAGAATATATAGACAATCTTCTACAACATACAGCAGAATTAAATCTCCACCAAAGAAATACTGAGAGTGTAAAAATATGAGCTCTCTTACACTTACAACCCAGTGAATTCAGTTTCTTCATAGAGACATATACACATTTTTCCAACTCTTATGGAATAGTCAGACCTGTTAGTGAATGCTTCAGAGGAAAACTGCACATTCTCCTATTGGAGAGGAATTTATAAAAGCACTACAGGCAAATCTTTATTACATCCCAAATGAATCTGATGTTCTAGGTCACAGGTAATGTCAAAAAGAAAGTAAACATTTACCAACCATTTGTCTGCTTACCCTTGGCACATTACTAGTTAGCTGTATTTTATACAGCTTTCCTGATTATTTTGATCCTACCAGTTACCAAATTATGGACATCACCCAGTCTCTTTCTCTAGTTCCAGACTACATATGCATACTTAATATAAAGTCTGCAAATACATCACAGAAATCAGTTGGAATGCTTGGACAGCTGAGTTACCTGAATGATAAACCTTAGCTTGCTTAAAAAGAATCCAGAATGTTTAAGAAAAGCATAAAGAAAGGAGTAAAAATCCTTTTGAGATAAAAAGAACAAAAGGACAAAAACTCAGGAAATCAGGGGGAGTCTAAAAGTTGTCACATGCCAAAAATCAGTGCAGCTAGTAAGTAGCCAATGAATAAATACTGTTCCTTAAAATAGCAAAAACAAACAAGTTTGGAAGAAATGAAACTAGAAAACATGGAAATGCATTGAAATCCATGTCTAAGCATATTTGATCTAAAAAAATAATCTAAACACAGCTAGAAACATTTACATGAGACTAAGAAGTCTCTAAAAAGATCACAACAGTTTGACTACAGTAGAACTGAATACTAGCTGCCTTGTTGAGTTCTTGTATTTTCTCTTCTTCTGTCATGCGTTCTTCGAAAGCAGTGAAACATCCACTCTGCACCATGTTCACAACTACACTCTGTCATAGAAGCCCAACCAATTCTCTTACTCCACCCTGCATTAACCCCATTCAAAACTAGGAGAAAACCAAGTCACAAAGGCCATTTACACCATGATGTATGCACACAGTACCTCTTGTCCCACGAGCCCCAGGGCGACCTGGGATGCCCATCAGCCCTGGAATGCCATCATTCCCTGGTAAACCAGGAAACCCTCTTGGTCCTTCAGGGCCTCTTGGACCTGGTGGTCCTGGAAGTCCTGGGGGAGCACTTTGAGACTGACAATGGTTACAGCTTTGTAGTCTTCTACTCTGCAGGATGGCAGGCAACTGGGCTGAGAGAATTCAAACAAAAAATTGCTTAGAGTGTTGAAACAATAAAAGTAGTGCCCCTAACCACAAATACAAGATCAGTTTCATCTCTTTAGAGAACAAGATACCTTTAGGCAATAAGATGGCAAAGTATGGAACCTGTGGTGTGGAAATGTATCCACACCTGCAAGAAAACAAGTGATAAATCGGCAGTATGGAACTTGCTTTCAAGAAGGAGACTTTACAATTATCAGGAAACTTCTTTAGCACTTCAAACAAGGAAAAAAACAGTAAAGAGGCTTTCAAACTTACTTCTCAGTACATCTGAACACACCTGTCGAATAAATTCTTCTGAAAATTCTCGTGCCTGAATTGAACAGAGAACAGTTAAAACGAGAGAGATCATGCATTTCTTTGTGGTTTTTAAGGTACTCAAAATTACAAGTTTGAGGTCCTATACATACAGGTTTTCCATCTGATCCAGGTGGTCCTGGGGGTCCTCGATCTCCTGGCTGACCTCTGAGACCAGGAGGTCCAACCAAACCCTGGACACCAGATTCTCCTTTTTGTCCACTGATGCCTTGAATGCCTGGATCTCCTTTCTCACCTTTCTGGAATGAAAAATCCATGAAAAGCCAACTGTATCTTCAGCGATCATCTGGAAGCTAGGCAGCATCACAAAAACATGTTCTGAGAAAATCTTTATTGATGACCTTCATAAAATTAATATAAGTTGTCACTAAATATTAACTTGATATTGATGAGACGTATTGAAGTTTTGAGATTCTTTGGTAACTGTTTCAGATACAATTACCCAATATAACTAGAAACAAATTACCTTTTTTTAACTTTAAAGAACCATTTAACTTACAAATTACTATTTAAAAATTAGTATTCATTATTAACATATGGAAAAAAAGGCATTATTCTCTTTTTCATGAGAATTAGAATTTTTTTCACAGTATGTTAAGTTCCTTAGAATGCTGGAAAAATTAGAGATGAAATTCTGGCATCACTGAAGTTCTTGGAAACTTATTGTAATTATCAAGCCTTTGACCCCTATGTCTGTAGTATATAAGATAAAGGAAAAAATAGTTTGATTTGAGTTAGCAATTCTTTTGTTTTGTTTTTTTTTTTTTTCATCTGATTGGTAATAACTATAGTCCATTTGCTTCACTGGAAAAGGTTAAAACAATACTGGAAAATAGTTTGATATATCTTCATCAAAGCAATGGTTCTTCTATGTATGGAAACCTACTGCAACAGTTCAAGTGGAACCCTTTCCCCACTCTGGAGCCAACAAAACATCAGTACAATGTAATTTGGTATATGCCCAAGATTAAAGTCAGTATACTACATTTGCTCTCTGATGAGTTTTTTCCTTCCATTTCTGCACAGCTTCTGCATAATATTATCAGTTGCCTCAAAATTTTCTTTCACTCTTTACAACTATTTCAGATAGAATTGTGGGAACAGGACTATTATATATGACAAAACTTACTGAAACATATAATAGAAGTTTAAGAAATTATGAAATACTCGTGCATACAGTCTTCATAGACTTACACTGAATTTTAAATTATGGTATTTATAATATTTTGTTTAATTTTCTCTATTACTCATCAAAATTCTTCAGAATAAATCAGAAAAATTCAAAGCTTCCTGGCTTGGTCTAAATTAGTAACAATCCAGAATTCTCCACAAGAATTACTGCAGGGTAGCAAGCTTCAAATTCAGTACTGGATTATCTAGTTTTATGCAGAGACCTAGGCACTAAAATCAGATAGGCAGTTTATCCTCTTAAAAAAACCCAGAAATGAGACAGGTATCAGTCAGGTGCCTAAAAGTACTGCTGGAAAGATGACCTGAACAGCAGTCCATACCTTCAAAAGTTATACACTAATTCAGAACTTTTTCCAAAGCTGTAATAACATTTTATTTTTTTGATATTGTCATCTTGAATGTTGTAGTAACAGATAATTGATCCTCTTATTACATCATGTAGATTTGTACTTGTTCATTTCTTACATAATTACAAATTACATAATTACAAAGGTGGTTTTTCTCCTTTAACATGGTCAGCAAGGCTCAGAGATAAACACATGGAGCATATGTAGCTGCCTGTGGCTATACTAGAATACATGTGCTGAGATCTGAAAACCATTCTGTTCTTATAGGTAGAAGTTGTTTGGGTTTGGTTCGGGTTTTTTGTTTTGCTTTGTTTTTAATTACTTTTACAGCTATGGATGAAGTTTACATAAAAGACATCTGACTTGCAAATTGATCTATTTGAACTAAATGAGTTAGAAAGCATTAAGAAACAGTGAATATTGGGAAAATGGCATCTACTGCAGAAAAACACTAGAGGCATGAAGCCAGTATAAAAATACCAGGACAAAATGTTGGAAGCATCAACAGAAACTGCCTGAAGAACTTGCCAAAGAGTAAATGAAACTGCAGAGGGAACATTTTCTGCAGTATATCTTGGTCTTTTAATGGTCAACCACATCCCATGTGTGGCCTTGTTTGTTGATCCTTGCTACTGGAAAAGAAAATTTAAAAAAGAAGAGCTCAATAAGTGCTGAGAATTACAGGCTGAAGAAACTTTTTATTGAGGAGTCAGAGTCTAACAAAAAACATATTTTATGAAAATAGAAAATCAACTAATTCTATAGGTTTAATGAGTAAACACAACATCATTATACCTTAACATATAGTAAGAAAATTATTGAGTTTTTTGTAGAAATATATTATTGCCATGATTTAAAATATTTAAAGAAGCTAGTTCAATAGTACACAGTTTTGACAATTATTTAGCAAAACAATTATAAGTCAAACTGTAATTTAAGTATTTCATAGAATCACAGCAGCATGTGAAACAGTTTACATGTTAAAATGCATACAATTATTTAATTATCAGAATTGAGCTTCCACCTAATGTATCCAGCTATTGATATGCAACAATGCTTTAATGAAAAGAGTTGAACAAAGAAATCTCTAAATAAATTTGTACTCTGATTTCACTAAACAATGAAATAAATAAAAAATAACCAACAAAATCAACGTTTTAAATACCAATTTTTTAAAAAAATGCAATGCAAAGATTAAAATTTTGGCCATAAATATATATACATTAGCCAAACACAAGGGAAAAAAAAAAGAAAAAGAAAATATGGGACTTCTAAAAATATCCTGAAGAGTAACAAATGCAGCTTCTGACAAACCAAGAGCAGTCCAAGCAGCCTTCATAGAATCATAGAGCAGACTGAGTTGGAAGGGGCCTTAAAGATCATCTTGTTCCAACCCCCCTGCCATAGGCAGGAACACCTTCCACTAGACCAGGTTGCTCAGAGCTGTATGCAGCCTCGTTGTGGACACTTTCCCCTACGCCCCTCAAGTTTCAGGCTGAGCTGAGTTATTCTTGTATAGACTTACTAGTAGAAAGAAAAAAATCTACCCTGCATTTTCTGAGTCAGTCTCAAAAAACAGAAACCTCTAAAAAAAAATACTTGTAAAGGCTTTGCTAGACTCCTTTCCATTGGCTTTGAAATAAAGGCACACAAAGAAATCTCACTGGTGACAGTTAAAACACACAAGACAAAGAGCTCATCTGTGGAAATCCTTACTACAGACTTTTACAGAAGCTGAAAGTAGAGTATATCAGCAGAGCTCAAAAGGAATTAAGTAAACTCAACACTGTCATTGAATACAATGGTCTTGACCTCTAACTTATGTGCTCCAAACTTTCTGACTCCCCCAAAAAAGGGAAGGGATACAAGAAGGATCTTCTTTGTGGGTCCTGTTCTTTATTTCTATATTGTGCCTTTCAATTATTGGTTACTGCTGAATAATATTATAACACTACTCTGTATTTTTATGAATGTATTTTTATTTTGCAGTGATCATAGAATCTCTAGATTCTTTTTCCTTTAAGTATTTCCTTTCCTGAACCAGTTTTTCTCATTGTTTTTATTGGTTAGTTTGTTGGCTTTTTAATTCCCTTAAAATATATACTTGGCTTTAGTTATTTTTAAAAATATTTCATTTAACGAAATATATATTTCACTACATCTCTTTTTAACTAATATTTCTTTCTCTTCTCGATATTTCTCAATTAATTTCTCTTCTGTTGCTTATAGACATCTGAGAACAGAAGCAAGACTATAAACACACATTTTACAGATCATATAATTTGCAGAAACAAATGGAATAATTTTGTAATATTATATTTGTCATTACAAAAATATTTACCTCTCCTCGTTCTCCATTCAGTCCTTCTACTCCCTTTAAGAAATAACATGAAAAAGAATTTAAAAAGCAGGCTGAACCAAATTACTTGGCATCCTTTGTTTTCAATAATTAATCACAAATGGCAACTTTTAAAGATTCTGTGATTGCTATTGTACAAAAAACCCCCTTGCATACAATGATGAAAAATTTATACCATGGTGAATGAACAATTCATTAATGCCTTTAATATCATATACAAAGAGGATAAGTTGCGAATATATCATACATATTAAAAACAAACATAACATAGAGACAAAATCTTATTCACTTTAGAAAAGACAAAAGAAATAAAATGTTGTGTTCTAGTAAAAGAAAACTCCTGATTCTACCTGTTTAACACTGTCTTACTATGCATAAATTAATTTTAGAGCCTTTTAGAAACTCAGTGGTAAGCCAGATTTTGCATGGTAGCAAATGATTTCGGAGTCACTTCTGCCAAGTGCTTCAACAGTGTTACTGACCATTAAGTTCCATGGCAAGTTGGCAGTTCACTTTTCTGATACACTCTTATGTGCAAGGGAATCTGTATTGTATCTTTAAGAAGTCTTGGAGTCTTGAGAAACCTTGGAAAGACCTAGTGTTGTCTACCAGAAGATTTTTTTGGTTGCCAACCAAATCAGAAAAGCATGGGAAACAATTTTAGACTCAGTCTGCATTATTTTTTCAGCTTTCTCCAAAAAAAGCAAGCAAGCACCAGCAATTCAAGTTGCATCATTCTATGGGAAAAATAATGTTTCCTTTCACTATCACTTTGTTTTGCTCATGATTAAAAAAATAAATAGATGAAAAAATTGTATATCGTTTGCAAAAGGAAAACCCAGAACGTTTAATTTGTAAAATGCTAGAGTAGGACACTACATTTGTTTAAAATCAAAGACTGGTCTTTTAGTTTAAAGTGCTTCTTTTAAAAAAATCTGCTCAGCTTTAATACTGAACTACTGTTAACCTTCATATGCCTGAGAGAGTTAACTAACATACAGTCTAGATCTCCTGCCCATACTCCACAGGAATCAGCTCCTTCTGGCTAGACAGGCAGCTGTATCGATGTCGTAATTCAGAAAAAAGCAACTGTGGCTTCCTTCCAAGTCTAGCTTTAAATATGTACCTCCAACAAATACTTCTCTGTTTAGACACAACAGAGTATGCAGTTAACAAGTATTTATAAATACTAATAGTTATTTTCTGTGGTACAACAAGATAGCCAACTATGACACAATCAGAATACACTGGCCCAGAGTTAAAGAGAAACAACTGCATCTCACTGATTTGCAGCTGAAACAGGAAACATCTGTAATTTATGAGCCCAGAAGATGTCAATAACTCCCAGTAATGTCTAGAAGATAATGAACTGCATAAAAATGTAGCATGGTACATGCAAAATCTTAACATCGCATGTATTATTCTTATAACCTTTACATAAAAGCCACTTTGTGCTGTTATCTGCATTTTATATTATTTATAGCTATTTTATAAAACTATTATATAATTAAGGATTTAATACAATAATAAAAAAATGCACTTATGGTCTGTTTCTCAAGATATAATATCCCAGAAGCACAGAAACATGGAGCCTGGAAGTGATTTCCTTGGGTTCAAGTTCCTTTGCAGAACAGACGCAACTTGATCGACCCAACACACTGCCCAGACAGGTTTTGCCAAAATGTCTGTGAGCAGCCTGATCCAGTGTTTGACCACCCTCCAAGCAAAAGGCTTTTCCTCTAAAGCAAGCTGGGATTTTCTGCGTTCCAATTCATGTGCATTTCCTCTCATCCTTCTAGCATGCACAGCTGAGAAAAATGTGGCTCCATCTTCTCTACATGTGTTGTATTTGTTAATTTAAAGACCTTAAGATTGTTTAAGAGGTAATTTATATAACTATGTAATCGTGTGGTACATAAATATATTTCATGTGATGCAAAGACCTATTCATGTTGATGGAAGTAGTGTTAAGAAACAAATATGAATTGTGGTCTCAAACTAGGATCTCTATGGCTCTCTTGAACTAGGATCCCTATTTTAACAGTACCTGTAAGCCTGGATTTCCTTGTCTTCCTTTTTCTCCTTTCAGTCCCTTAAGAAAAGAAGCACATTTTCTTAAAATATACATTTATCTGGTACATGTAATTAAACTATGAAAAATAACAAAAAGAGTTAAACCCTAAAACATCATCCTAACCAGGACAAATCAATCTGAAAAGTTACTCTTCAAGAGATCAAAGCAGAAACTGTGCAAAAGAATACAATTTCTACTCTGAACATAGAGGAACCAAGTCAGGATCTGAGCAGTGACATCATACTTTTTCTTGTAGGTATTACCATGATTTTAGATAACAAGAAAGAAAATTCCACTTATTACAGTACAGTAGGTAGGCAGGTAGTACAGTAGGTAGGCCTGCTCAGGCCCTAGAAATGCAGCTGGAAATTCATACTGGGTACACTGGGCTGATTTCCATGAAGGAGAGTTACTGCTGCTATTCAAGCAAACTTTCTATGGAGCTTAATCTTAAAAAAAGTGCCTGAATTAACACCTAAAACTTGTATTAATAGCGTTGCCAGATGATTTCATTAGGAACAAAGTTGATATACCTGGATACCGCTGTCACCCTGGTTTCCTTTGTCCCCCTGTGAAATATCAGAAGAAAAGTCTCCATTTCAACATGATTCATCTCAAAGACATGTAGTCTGTGTTTAAATTTAACACATAATTACAAGACAAGCATCTAATAGCTTTTATTTATACTGAATCAAAACAAGTCACTTTATCCCCATGTACACAAAAACTGAGAAAACCCCGCAAAGCTATACTAAAAAAGGAATTTGTCATGGAAAGAACTATCAAAAAGAAAAGTGGATACTCACATACCAAGTAAAAAACTAAAAAATATGACATAACGAGGTGGAAAATCCAGCAGGATTTTATCCACTCCGTGCATGGGAGTGGAGAGGATGTAAGTAGGGAAGGAGGCAGTGTTTCTCATGCGTTAAATTTCAGCTGAATGCTAACCTCAAGTATGCTTGCCTTCACCCACATAGACTAGAGTATAAATAATTTCTGTAACACTTACTATAAACACACTGCATGCAGAAGTTACCCATGACAATACAAAGAAAAAGTATTTTTTGAATGGTAAACCTCCTATATTTAAATTCAATCAAAATATTTAAGGACTAAGTTCTACTTCCACCCACTCCTTTTGACTTGAAATGTTTATATTAAATAATTGGGGGGGAATTGACAATCAGATGGTGCAAATTGTACTCAAAAGTTAGTTATCTAGGTTTATCAACTTGACCGAACACCATCTAATTGACACTGGAGAGAAACAGTCAGTGCTTGAAAATTATTCATTCCAATTAACAACAGAGGTATAAAACACGTACTCTCAAAATGTGCCTTTCTCTCTTCATTGATTGAAAAGGAAACTTAAAGTTACGGGAGATGGCTCTTACTCTAATTCTGACCGCTTAAACCCTTGTGACTCTGTTCAAACAGACATGAATCAAAACATTGGGCCAAGAACATAGTAGCTCAGGAAACAAAGACAGATCTTTGGGGGGTGTGCAAAACTGCATTTAGTAAAGAAAAGAATTAGAATGGAAATTTTTGGCTTTGTTTTGTCAGTTTTCTTGTAAGAGCCAAACATTTGTGCGTTTGGTTGTTTTCTGGGAAAAAAAAAATTAGTTAAATGCTAAACAGTAGCAAAGAGGACATTTCGCCATGGCAAGTATTTTCCTGATCAAAAATCCCAGAACATAAGACATTTATGCCAGCTGTATTCGATTGTATTGTACTTGAATGTCAAATATTTTGTTGGTTTCAAGTTTTAAAATAATCTACAGCTGAAAGGCTTCACTTATACTGTCAGATGCCCAAATCACACTTTTCTTCCTGAATAATTCAAAAGTCTGTCATACTTATGACATGTAACTCCAGTCAACTTGCATCCTCATATAAAATGAATGACTTTTGCAAAAGCTTCATCAGTTAAAATTTAGAGAAGTTTCATAATTTTAACAAAATCACCTTTCATAAAATCAGCATTATTGTCTTGGTACATGTACCTTGCATAACCCTTAGATATTGAAAGTGAATATATAGTGATAATGGAACTAATAAACTATTGTTGTGACACTGACTCCAGTCACTCTTCCACTGGTCTTTTTGTGCTCTGCAAATCCCTGTTTCGAAACTGGTCAGAAGACTAACTTTTCTACATCTTCTCTTGGAAAAATGTAACTCAGGTTCCATTATCTCATTTATGTGAGATAACCTCACCTAAATTTGGATCTCTCTCTAGCTTCCACTGACTAGGGACTTCCTTCAGATATCTAAACATAGGTATTTAAGATGCTCTGTGCAGTGCAAGGCACCTCCATACTGACATGCAAAGTACTCTAGTATACCTAAGACATTTATACATGGCTGGCATATACAATACCGGACATACAGGAAATCTGTGCTCTTCTGGAGCAGGAGCTGAAGTCTAATGGAATACTTCTGTATGGGATTTTCATAAAACTTTAATTATAACACTACTCTCCTATCTTACTGCCTCTTTATCCTTAAGCTTTTCTTTCCCTATGAAAATGACATGCCTGATTCAACTCTATTTCTGTAATGCTGTATTGGGTCTGGCTGAGACAGAGTTCATTTTCCCCATAGCAGCCCTCACAGTGCTGTGCTTTGCACTGGTGGCTAGAAAGGCGTTGATAACACACCAGTGTTTCGGCTGCTGCTGAGCAGAGCTCCCACAGCATCAAGGCTGTCTCTCCAAATCCCGCTCCTCACCAGTAATCTTGGGATGGGCAAGATCTTGAGAGGAGACACAAATGCAGGCTAGGTGGAGAATGGATTGACAGCAGCCCTGTAGAGAAGGACTTGTGGGTGTTGGTGGACGAGAAGCTTGACATGACCTGTCAATGCGCACTTCCAGCACAGAAAGCCAATTGTATCCTAGGCTGCATCAAAAGCAGTGTGGCCAGCAGGTCAAGGGAGGTGATTCTCCCCCTCTACTCCACTCTCATGAGACTCCACCTGCATCCAGTTCCAGGGCCCCCAACATAAGAAGGACGTGGACCTCCTGGATCTAATCCAACAGAGGGCCATGAAGATGATCAGAGGGCTGAAGAAGAACCTCTCCCATGAAGACAGACAGAGAGTTGGGGTTGTTCAGCCTGGAGAAGACTCTGGGGAGACCTTAGAGCAGCCTTGCAGTACCTAAAGGGGTCCTCCAAGAAAGCTGGGGAGGGGCTTTTCACAAGGGTCTGTAGTGATAGGACAAAGGGGAATGGCTTTAAACTGATAGAAGGCAGGTTTAGATTAGATATTAGGAAGAAACTCTTTACTGTGAGGGTGTTGAGGCACTGGAACAGGTTGACCAGAGAAGCTGTGGATGCCCCCTCCCTACAAGTATTCAAGGCCAGGTTGGATGGGGCTTTGAGCCACCTGGTCTAGTGGATGGAAGGTGTCCCTGTCCACTACAGGAGGGCTGGACCTACATTGTCTTTGAGGTTCCTTTCAACCCAACCATTCTATGATTTATGACATAGCCAGGGCAGCTGACCCAAACTGACCAAAGGGATATTCCATACCATATCATGTCTGCTCAGCAACAAAAGCTAAGGGAAGGGGGAAGGGGAAGACATTAATTACTATGACATTTGTTTTCCAGAGAAACCTCTATGTGTACTGAAGCTCTGCTTCCCTGGAACTGGCTGGACATCACATACCGATGGGAAGTAGAGAATAAATACTTTGTTTTACTTTGCTTCCAAACATGGCCTTCCTTTTGCTTTATTAAACTGCCTTTATCTTTACCCACGAGTTTTTTTCCATCTTACTTTCTCAAGACCCTGTACTGATGAAGAGGGGAGTGACAGAGCAGCTTGGTGGGCACTTGACATCCAGCCAAGGTCAACCCACCACAAATGCCTTTACATCAAGACTTCATCCTTCAGAAGAAAATTTTCATGATGCACATATTGTTGCTTTAAATGTGTCCTATTCTCTAATAATAATGATGTGTTTAGAGAAAGGATTTTGTTTAATAATGATTACTTATAAGAAAAGCACTTCCAATAAAAGATGCAATTAAAAATACTTACCTTTATGCCTGGGGTACCAGGAATGCCTGGGTAGCCTGGTTCACCTGGAGCACCTGGTACTCCTAGTTCTCCCTGAGTAATACAATAGCTCTGTTAGTGATATGCTGTGCGCAAAAACATATATTGCATATTTTCTCAAGGCCACATGATACACTTTGGTTATGATATTTTGAAATTTTATAACTGAAGATAATTGAAATGTCTGGAAAATTTGTGAAAGGATTTTGAATACAGAGAAGCCACAAAAGAGGTTCCTAATTCTTAACCTCAGTTTCCCACTACCTATTTTTATTAATTGTATTTTAATACAGTTGATGTTTCAATATTACACAAAAAATACTATCTGAAGTAACGGCAATGTCTGCAGCTTTGAACTTAATGAGTACCTGAGTTACATTGCCTAAAATCTAGCATAAAATTAGTAAGAATAAGTAATCAAATGGATTCTGATGCAATTTGATGTTAACTACTGTTTTACTGTGAAACAAACTGCCTAGTAAAATAGTACATAAATCCCTTCTTTAACTAGAGTACTTCCAGAATCATATTTACCTTGGCTCCTGACGATCCTGGTTTCCCCTGAATTCCTGGTTCGCCTTTATCACCCTATATAACAATTATGTAAGAGTGTGGCTGATATCATTATGCTTTGTCACATGTGCTATGACCAGCAAACATAAACACACACTGTTGAGAAACTGACTTTTAAAAACAGGCACAGGTAGCGACTGAAAGGCTAAAGTTCTATTCCCTTATGGGAAGCCTGAAGGTGTAACTTTCTTTCAGGAAAGATAAGATACTGATGACAAAACATGATCCGCCAGCCTCTGCTCACCAGTCCTGTCCCTACCTGCCTCATTTCCCTTGCCCAATCACTCCATATTTGTGCATACTGACCTCACATTTCCATCATCTTATTTAATAAAACCCTGAGAATCCTAAGATCAGTCCAAGTAAAAATATTTATTGTTTTCACTTTTATTGTAGCCTATGGAATTAGGCATATATTCACCTTGAGGATTTTCATGAAAATCTAATAATTATTGACTACTTCATAATGCCCTTCAGTAAGAATGAGCTTATTAAGAATGATTCTCTAAGAACCAGTTTATACTGTGAATGAGATAAATACACAGAAAAAAGGCATTTTTCACCAAAAAAAAAATAAAGCTACTTAATTTTTAGTCATTTCATAGGTATTCAATCTTCTAGACAATAGCAAACATTGACCACTTAAAAAAATGCTACCTCCAGTATACAATTTTAAATAAATGCACATGTACTTCTGGATATAAAATAACGTATGGATGGAAATGGATCTAAATGTAAATACATCATTTGGGAAATGGATACTGTATTCCTAAATATTCTCTAGGACACACAATTCAGTGCTTATTGACCAAAACTCATCTTGGAATAAATTAAAAGGTTACACTAAGCAATCTGAATTTATTGTATCTATTTTAACTTCTGAGAGCATGGGTCAAATTAGTCCTTGCTGTTGCTGCAGTACAATCAATAAAGTTAAATCTGAAATAAATTTGGCTCCTTGGGTGGAAAAAACAGCACTAACATCATTTAACTCAATTAAAATATAAGTAAATGTAACATGGGAAGAAAGTTCAGATATATACTGAGAATTATCTGATTCCCAGCATTGCAGAACGTTTTCCAGGTCTGCAAAGCTGAAACAGTCTCATGACCATTCCTGCAATTGTTCCAAACATCATGGGATGACAGGCACCATTCACTGAGTTATATTAACCTCTCTTGAGACTGAAGTACCATAGAAAGTAATACAGGAAAATCATACAGCTACTCACCAATATTCAGTACACCAAAAAATTAGCTGCAAAATCTATAAAGCAGTCATTTATCCAAGTCACATTAACACACTTACCTTAGGCCCAGGAGCTCCAGGCAGACCAAGTGAGCCTTCTGGTCCCATCAAACCCTATTTATTTATGAAAAAGGCAGAGACATCTCTGTACTAAACTAGAGGAATAATGGCTTCAGTATAGTATTTATACTATACTATATAGTATTATAGTATCATTATTCTATTTCCATAATGAAATAAACAGGAAATACAATGTCTTTCATCATATTACTACACAGGCTATAGTTCTGATACAGTACAATGAATTATTTAGACCTTCTATGGTCTAATGAAGGGCTATGGTGCAATGAAAAAAACCCATATAGAAAAAAAGAACAGTGCTGTCATAGAACACTCCTGAGAGAAAAAAAATCTGCAACTCAAAACATTGTCTGTAATATGTCCCTTAGCTATAACTGAAAGTAGCACAAAAGCTTCTTGGTTTCAATTTAGTGTTTCCAAAATCAGCAATACTATATGTGGCATTTCATAATTCTCTTTCTTCTTTCTGACCATACGTCCCTCAAAGATTGCCAGGCCTTGACTCCTTTTGCAAGCTTTGTGGAGATTTATCAGGGGGGCCACATCTTTGCATCTTCTGCAGAATCTTCAGGGTTGAACTGTTCGTTCAAGAACCCAACAGCTTCTGCCATTTCATATCATGACACTTCAGCACATGTACAAAGTCAGAGCATCACTAAAACATTCCCTTGGACTCCTCAAATGGAATCATGTTGACAAAGGCATGTTTAGCTGTCTTTGTTCCATACATAAAATAAGAGCTAAGGGATGTCAAATCATCAAAGGGCTGGTGCTCTTAATTTCTGTTTAAAGCTAGTCTCAAGATGCATGCATCAATAAAAACAATATATTATCATTGTTTTATTTGTACTTGCATAAATACTCTGAAAGACAATATAAGAGTGTACTTTAGACACAGCATAAAACAAAAGCACAGTAATACAGAAAGTCAAACAATTAAATAAGGCCTGGAAATCTAACTTGTCAGAGACTAAATTTTATCAATTAGTCCAAGTGATAATATTTTCAAAACCCATTGTTACTAATGTTATTTAATCTTCGTTTTCATATAAATCCAAATAACCACCTTCCATTTAGTATTAAATTTTAGGAACAATTCACTCCCATGACGTTATCTCAGACCTCTGTCAAAGGTTACACGGAATTAAAACCATGTAATTTGTTAACACAGATTACAACTCAGCTTTGCAAAAAAAAAAAAAAAAGGAAAAAAATTCTTTATTTGCTAAAACTGAAAGGGTGTCTGCAAATAGAAGAGAAAATTCAGAATATCTGGAACAAGAAGTAACTCTCTGTAGCCAGGGTTTTCAGGATTTCATCAGTTTTCTGGCATTTCACCTCTGCTTTACTATTAACCACACATTAATACAGGTTAACCACTGATTAATTCAGGTTTCTTTGCTGATGTATGGTAAGAAAGTTCTGGTCACCAAAATTTTCCATCAATAAATACAGCAACTTACTCTTTAGGCCAGAGACACAGGTCTGTGAATACAAATAAACTGTATCAAGCACAAGACTAAAACTTGAGTAACTTTGCTGCCAGTGTTCCTCAGTCTTAAGACTTTTCCTACTCAGTCAATTGCACATGAAAAATCTAATAAACTTCAATTTTTCTAAATTAACACAATATCATACATTGAATAATTTCCAACACTTTCCTGAACTTTCCTGATGCTTGTTCTTACTTACACAGAAAATCAGTCTTCTTATCGAAGATGATGCAGCTAGTCTAGTGTAATCTATTATTTGGTAAAGAGAAGTTTACTATATCCTACCCCATTTCTTTCATAATTTGGAATAGAATTACAAATTCTTCTCCAGATGGATTAAAGTTTCTGAGGACTGCTTACACTCATAACCTAAGAGACTGTGTATTCCCATAAACTATTTGCTTATGGACTGCATTTAGCACCAACTTTGTTACAACAAGACTAACAAAATATTCATTTGGTTTTGTAACCTAACCTTGATTATATTAATGCTGTCTTAATTCACTTGCACAGGAGGTTTGCTTCTTCAGTTTTTCTCTTTTTATTTACATAGAAAAATAAGTTTTTATTAATTTTCATTTCAGTGTAAGGTTTAATTCAGTTTGGTTCTTTGAAATCAAATTTTATATTATCTATTGACCTCCTTACTTCTGAAATACAGCCCTCTTCATTGTGTGATCTTTTTTGCATTCCTTGAGGACTACCTTCCTTTTCCAAAAACCACTGTGAAATTACAATTTTCTCCTCCTCAGATTTCTGTTCTGTTCTCATTACTAACACGTTAATCAGTAGAGAAAAGGAAGCACAAGTATTGTGGGAAGGGATAAAAAATGTGAGTGGGGGTTTCTGGCTCCTTTCACATTGCCACCTCAGATTAGCCCCCTGTTTCAACTCATGTAACACACCGAGAATCTACCATCTACCACTAGATCACTTCTAGTTGACTCCCACATCAGTCCTTGGACTACAGAAGCAGCGTATGTTCATCAAAAATGTCCCCCGCTCATTTTATCTTATACAAAGTGGAAATACTAAATGTAAAGAATAGGTTTTTTTTATTAATGAATCACCTATGTGTATATATCCACACTGACATGCAAACATATAGTAGAAAAGGCAAATAAGAAAATATATTTAGTACAACCAAAGGTCAAGTATACATCTGCAGGAAAGGTAGAAATAAAACCCAGTTGTCCTGGTTTCCTTTCTTGCTCTTTCATTACAAGGCCATATTTAACTTCCTTAATTAAAAAAAAAATAGGAAGACAACTACATGAAATCAGCATGCTGCAAGAAGAAAACTTTCAGATGCAATATGAGAAAAGCTTGAGAACATAATCTGGAAACTATTAAAAGAGAAGAGCATGTCCTGAATAAAAATGAAGAACAATTCAAGGACATAAAATGTATCATTGCTCCCCTATTTTCCAGAGCTGACACTATTTATATTGCGGTAAATTAATAAATTGCTGGTGTTGGCAATGTAATAGGGATAGTTATTTCTGAAGAAGAACTTGTTACTGAATAATTTTCCCAAGGTATTAATAGACCATCCACAAGCTTTCCATCTGTTTTTTCTGGAACAAACATATTCAATGTGACTAATACAAGGAAAATCCCACTATCTTTTCTGGTTGAAATTCCCTAATGTCATGTAACATATTCAAATATTCCATGCATCAATTTCCTATTTAATTTATCAGGTGATAAAAAATACATTAAATGACTTAACAGGAAACAGGAATAAATTATTTTCAAGTATATCAAGAAGCAAATGTTATTTATCTAAATACAATTTGAAGAAAATATGGTAGGTGAATTAAATAAATATGTACACTTTGCAATCCCACACAGCTTTATTACAGCTGATGATATAGCCTTCCCTCTAGCATTTTGTTCAACTTTGCTCAGAAAAAATGGAGAAAAGATTTCCATCAATAGACAATAAAAATATTTTCACTGAACTGCTTTGTTGGCTTCCTGAGAAACTGAAGTTTCTTCTGTTTGGACTGGGCACGGACAAGCCCATACATGCACAACATATAATGACTCTCAAGATAAGGCAGTAAGTAAAAAAATCAAATGATCGTTCAATTATTGTCAAATATTACAACACTTATATATGCCATTCAGCTGCAAACCAAGAAGTGTTACCTATTTCTTCCCTTGACAAGTGATAACTAATTCTGTAGACTGAATACAACTGCATAAAATCTCCTTTACTACCATATGGCTCAATACTCTAAGAAAAACCCCAAATTTTTAGAAGGTTAAAGCCTTTCAGTCATGTAGTGGTCCCTTGTCCATACAGATAACAGCATCAGTCGTAATTCTCTACAGTATTTATTATAGCAGTAATAGTTTAGACTGATCTGCTTGAGGTTTAATATAGGCTGAAACGTAGGTTCTTTAACTAGTTAAAAAGTTGTAGTAAACAGCATACTTATTATGCTAAACTGTGTATCTCTCAGGAAACTCAGAAGCATTTTAGTCAGGAAAGAAGATAAAATGTCTCCAGCACAAAAGGCAAACTGCAAAAAGACATGTTAACAGTGAGGGTGATTAGTAATGGAACTAAATAAACATGGTTTCCTCAATAGAAGAGATAATTATTTTTTAAAGGCAGCATAGGGTCAACCAATGATGAAATTCCTATTAATTTAGGAAAGACTTGTAACTAGTTTTAAGTAGGTGTCCCTTTTGCTTTTAAAATTTCCATTTTTGAAGTCTATATATACTTTCACCAACTTGCAGAACAATTATTTTGCTACTGTGATTTCTAAAGGACTATAAAGAACACAGAAATCACCCTACGCAGACAGTAACAAAAACGTGGTAACCCGGACTGTCCAAGAAAAAATGAACTATTTTCAGTTTCCCTCATTGAAAACAAAAATTTCTCTTTAAGCAGTTTGGGAATTCAGTGATCTCAGCTATTTTCACAGTCTGTCAAAAGAGCACTATCACAAAAGCATCCTGAAATTCATCTTCAGAAATCCATTACACGCTATGACAATATTTAAGTCAGAATTAACTTTCAAAATAAATTTACTTCAGTACTTTCAAAGTCAATTCAAACCTAATTAATTCAGAGGCTAAATTCAGACTAATCTATTGCTGTATTTATCAAACGTGCAGTCAAGAAATCATAAATTTTAAATAAAAATGGGTATATAATACTTGTGGAGAAATTCAGATATTAGACTTAGTCTGATTATATTTTCCAACTTGAAAATGCAAGGTTGCTCCTGTATTTTCCATTGCTCGTTTGTTTATGACAACTAGAGAACGACAACACCAGAATTACTTGTCCATAATAACAAATTTTTGCAAACTTACAGTATCTCCTGGTGACCCTTTTGCTCCTGGTTGACCTGGTGGTCCAATTTCACCCTGTTTTTTATAGCAAGAGAAGAATTCTGTAATTAAAGTATGCACATTTAACAAATTTTTTAGATATTCTTTAATTACGCAGGTTTAGTAAGCTAGAGATTATTTCTCAAAGTATTATAAAATTAGTTTTGTTACTTCTGAAATATTCATTCCTTCTGAAATAGCTGAAATAAAACCTAATGATTTTTGAACATGCCACAAAGAATTTGGAGTATATCTCCATTCTTTTGTATTTGATGTCATAAATCCTCACTATGAAAACTCTTCTCTGAGTACAGACTGAACCCTTATTTTGGCATGGATGTATATATATGTGCAGGTTTTAACTGTGTTATGAACAATTAATACCTTTTGTCCTTTGAGTCCTTGATTTCCAGGGATACCAGGAATTCCCTGAGAAAAAAAAGAAACCTTTTAAATATATGGAATAGTTTCAGCAGAAAATATATGTCCTCATAAATTTAGCATTTGCCATATTATTTCGGTTCCAAACACGGGCAGAAATAAAAAATTTAAAAAAAACAAAAAAAACACCAAAACCCCCCCCAAAAAAAAACAGCCCCCCTAAAACCACTAAAAAACCAACCCACATACAAAAAAAAACCCCCAAAACAAAAAACCAACCACCAAAAAAACACATGAGAGAAAACAGCTTCAGCTGGAAACATGCAAACTATATAATCTGGGATAAAGGTGAAACACTAATATTCCATTGCTCCCCATTGCTTTCGTTCCAGGAGTCCGTGTCTGCCACTAGGCAGGCTCACAAGCTCCTGCTTGCCCAAAAACCTAGCCTGACACAGGGAAAGAAACCACTTTACATTATCCATAAGATTTCCCATCAACACTGCCTCCGTACAATCTTAAACATCCACTGGTCAGATTTTGTGACCAATACATCTGTTCTAGAGCAAGCAGCTGTCACAAGTATTAAGGCCATGTTGATGAGAACACAACTGTGATGGGCAGGACACGTCTCAAGGATGAAGGACCACCGCCTCCCTAAGATCTTGCTTTATGGTGAACTTGCCACCGGCTGCCGCATGAGAGGAGCCCCAAAGAGAAGATACAAGGACTCCCTGAAACAACATCTCAGCCTTGGCCATACTGATCACCACAACTGGTCTACTCTGGCCTCCAATCGGGAGGCCTGGAGACACACCATCTATAACGCAGCTGTCTCCTTTGAGAACACACGCAGGATCACTCTCGAGGAGAAAAGGCAACGCGGAAAGAACCGTGTCTTGCAGAATACACCATCTAAGGAGTCTTTCTGCTGTGCCTTTTGCAATCGGATATGTCTGTCTCGTATTGGCCTCATAAGCCACCAGCGTGCCTGTAACAAATGTAGATAGAGCCTTTCCCAAATCTTCATTTGCGAAGCCTAGCCATGAATGAATGAAGATTTCCCACATAAGTTAAAGCAAAAGTCCTGGTCAATAGAACCATCCGTATGACAAATCATATTTCGTTATCTAAAATACAGTGACTGTAAAGAGATAGTTATAGTTGTATTTGAGATACACCAGCTTCCACCTCCATAAATACTTGAAGATCTCTGCCATTCCCTCAGCATCTCTGCTTATTCAGCCCTATAGCATACCTCACATTTTTCTTACAGTGAGCATTTAATTGAACATAATTCAGCATTAAAACAAAACTCTGTGTATGCTTCAAACTGTAGTATATATTCAGTTAGTCTATTTTTTCTCTCAGGTAAAACAATTAAAATTTGTTGGACAAACACTGTTCTTATGGTACCATCATTAATCTGCAGCAAGAATTTGCTTTAAAGACTTTGCATTTTAATCTAACATTGAAAAGAATATGCTGCAGTGAAGACAAGAGGACTGTTCTAAACCCACCAAAAGAAATGCATTTTATGGGAAAAAAATAACATGAAAGTAACAACTGATAGCTTCCTTATGGATTACATCTGTGCAAAAGATAGTTCCATTCTTTTGCAGTTTACACCCACTTCTAGTTAATAATGACCCCACCAAGCAGAAACAGGTCATTGGTCAATGGCACATGAGTTAACAATGACAACTTCAGCATTTTACAGGTCATCAAAATTCCAATGTACCTATCATTTAAAAAAGACATCAAATAATGTAATAAAAAGAACTTGAAAACAATGCCTTATTCTGAGACTTCTACTCACATTATGTAACATAACTTTTCTTATTTAACTTTTGTCCAAAACTCTCCTATAGATCTTTTGCACAAATAGAGAGATAGGAAATAGAGCTTATTTGTCACTACATTTAGGAACTTCCAGACTCACCCATGAGTTCTCAGTATAGTTATTTAATATAACATTTAATTAATTATTTATTTCTGTAGCTGTAAAATATAAAACCAAATTATGATATCTGTACCTGTAATACAAAACAGAATTTCATATATGCTGAAGAAAACCACCCACTAGGTAGCAAACTTCTCATCCTGAAAGGATGTACCAAAGCTTTCCATGGTTACATCTCTATGCAATTTGGAGGGCTGAGAGAAGAGAGTTCCACATACTTATCCAACACAGCAAATGACTTACCACTACATAAGCATGCCTAGAAGAAGAAACACAATGTCCTGTTGAGCTGTGTTGATCTTTCTTGGTTAAAACAAATTGCTGGTACAAGACATTTAACTTTATATTAGTGACAAAGATAAAACTCCAAGAACAATAATTGCAAAATTAAGTCATATTTCCTTTCTTTTTCCCTCTTCTTCCCCTTCTGATTGAGTCTGCACTACTGAAGTATACAGAACTTAGGCTCTTATTTCAGTGAGAGCTGGTCCAGACCCTTAAAATTCTCTTACGGTTCACTGACATTCACTCACCTAAGAATGAATCTATCACTTATGCTGATGTAAGTGATTCCCACAGTACATGCGGTGGAGATTTTCAGTTACTCTCCACATGTCAGTTGGCACAAAAAGAGGAGAATGAAGTGCCTGATTTGGTCATAAAAAATGATATTTCCCAAAAGAATTATTTTTCTATGTAGCTTCCATGGTTCAGTAATTATAAAGACTAATTTCTATAGGATCAGCTCCCGAATGCCTAAAAAATTAAATTTGGTTCCTTCTCATGATCTATCTCAATCTATTACTTTCTTTTACATGGATAATCTCTGGTTATGCCCATTAGAATTATTTGCACTTTCTCAGAAGACAAGGTTAAAAAGTAGTTTAGATATCATGAGTTTCTTCCCTAACTTCCAGGTCAAAAGCCAAATCAAGCTTTGGAAACATATCTTGTTCCTAAACAGAGATTTCATATGCAGTACAAATCCTCAGAATCTGTGCATTTTTTCAGTCCACCATGAGTAATGAGGCACTTTTTTTTTTATGTGACTTTTTTTTTTTTAGGGTGACAGAACTAACTAGTTAGAACACTAACTAAACTGCCAAAGAAACCTTACTTTAATTATGGAAGAAATGTATGTTTATTTTAAAGTATACTGCAAAGCAACCACTTCGACTCCATTTGCAAGATAAAAAAAGTTTTTTTTTTTTGAAGAGTATATTGCAACTAAAATTATTACAAACGCATGTGTTTAATCAAAACTTAATATGAAACACATTCATCATGCAATTTTTCTGCCACTAAGGGAAAAACAATGTTTGGAACTGTTACAAATGGGAAAGCTGCCACTCACTGGGAGTAACAGAATCAATGCTATGGAATAATTCATGATTCACTGGCCTACAGAAAAAAAAAGTGCCTTTGGGGATGTCCTTTGCAAAGCTATCAAGCAACATTTTGTTCATATGAAATAAGAAAAGGGGTTGTAATTCTAAATTTTCTTTTCCTTGTCTTTCCAGAAAACACATGTTAAATGGTTTGTACTTATCATATATGCAGCTATAATACCAAGAAAATGCAGCATTACATTTCTAGCCAGAATAGCTAAAAAATCAAAGCATCTACTGTGCTGTAGTGATTTCTGTCTTTATATGAGTCGCATTATCTTTATACTTCCAAATCAAGAAATCTGCTCCCCTTTTACTTTTACATCCAACTTCATGTAACACATTCAGTGCTTCTTCACATTTAAAAATTAAGTTAATCATAAGCACAGTCTTCCTCAGCTGAAGTCTCCCACAACACTAGGACTTCAGAACACCCAAAAGTATGAATTTGTTTCTATTGTGATGATGAGCTTCAATTACGACACTTATAGAATTCTGTATAAATATTCTATTTTATCCCAGCTTTAGCAATTTAAATAAATCTTCCATTCTTTTATAATATCTGGCAGACAGAATGGATTTAACTGTAAGAGGAACATGGTTTCATAATCCCTGGAAAAATTTTCTTGTAGCTTTCTTTAATCATGAGGTGTCTATTTTTGTTTTGGATTATATCAAACAGATGGATTATCTTCCATGCAGCCCCACAAAAAATCCATTAAGGAAACTGCCTGAGGCTTTATATGCGAGTCAACGAGGTGTAAGCATTTTTACTTAAGAAACAAGCTACGTTTCTCAAAATACTCCCCACCTTTTTCTAGCTAGCATCATGGATTATTTGTATCCCCATCATGTTTACCTTTATGCTTGCAAACAGCAGAAAAACCACATGCAAAAACTTTTTCCAGAACAAAACAAAATCTATTTTACTCCTAATATTAGTATGTATTAGCTTATTCTATTCTTCATTTTCTGCTACTGTCTTTAATATTCCCCACCTCTTCAGTGCCTCATAGGACAGTATGGCCTACTATGCAAAGTAGGAGCTTCTAGGCTACAGGTAATATATCCACAATCATAAAATTCTATCACTGGAAGATGCAAAATTATAGAGTATTTCCAAAAGCTCTTCAGAGCAAACTGCTTTGCGGTCAATTCCCCAAGCAGATGTAGAGAACATTAGTATAACTATCTTTATGATCATCAGTTTTTTTTCTGATAAAAAGATGACTCTTCTAGTGTATATGCATTCTCTGAATTATGTTTCAATTCAATGATTCCTTCCACTCTGGAAAATCTGCAACTCTGCTTCTGGGAAGACACTAAAGGACATTACATGAATTATAGCAACAGAAGGAGATTCACAAACAACATCTATCTGTTCACATGTTCTCATGATCCCCTTAAACATCTGAAATATACGACTGTTTACGTATTACTGATCCTTACTTGAAAAAGCATACTTGATGATATATGAAAGTTTTACTGGAAGCATGCAAAAAAGTAAAAGTGTAGCCAAAATCTGGATGAAAGTACAATAGTCAAAATGCTTCATAAAAGATTACAGCAAATCCTTAATGATCTTCACAGAATGAAAGACATAAACCAAATTTAGATAATGTATAAAACCTTCTACCGGGCAAAGTAGCAAAATATATGGAAAACAAATTCAATGAAGCCCCATCTGCTACTACTGA